TGTCTGTGTTGTGTGTTTCTGGCTCAGGTCATAGCCCTAATTACAATGAAGAGAGACCACTGCAAAATCCACTTATTGCCTTTTATGCTTAGTGAAATGCAAGCACGCTCACTACCGTAGAGTTAGTTTCAATTAAGCAGTGCTTCAATATTTATATAATGGCATTTAACTGAGATATAATTGGATGTTAAGAGTTGGGCCTAATAATCTATGCATAGAAGCTGTGCTATTTTAGCTGCCCTGTGCTTTTCTCCAGCTTATCTTCAATGGTGAAATCCTGCAACGTCAATGATGCCCATTTCTGGGAAGGAGGCGGGTGGGAAACCTACAGTACATGGGCTCCTCCAGGGGTCAGCCAGTCTGTGCTAATGCATAAAATCCTAAGTGTTTAACATTCGGGACACAGGTAGACCGCAGTGTTTAAGCTGCCCTTTGGTAATGTGCTTTGTCTGTCTTGTTTGTCTGAGTGACTAACATGCCCTCTTACTATCTCAAGATGAACTGTGGGTCAGTCTAGGGGAGAGTTTCACAGTTTACTTGTACAGTAAATCTGACCAGACAAGGCAGTAGACCATGAGGGACAGAGTAGTTGAACAGGTGAGTCATATAATATTTGACTGTTTATGGCATGCAAACAGATTTTTTAAGAGCTTAAAATCAAGCGATACTGTTTAAGTGACACAGTCATACTCAAAACACTCTCCTGAATTGCTTCGGGTCTATTCTATTCTGGCTTTTTTCACGATTTACTTTAAGAAGTATGACTGTTCAATCAGAAACATCTCTCAGTGCGTCTGAAAACACAAACTTTCATCAATATCGATCACTTGTACTTAAAGAAAAGTGTGTGAATTGTTTTTTTTTGTGCTCTCAAACACATGCATAGACTTTGTCAAACAGTATTTTTTTAATTTATTTTTTAATAATTTCTGTGTATGCCAGAACCAAAGTTTACTGCATACGCCCAGACAGATGGACTGGAGTTGTCTGATTTTATCGGTGTCTAGTGTATTTTCCGTCATGACTGTAGAAAGTGGACTGCCTGCTCTGAAAAAAATACATCTTGTAACTGTATTAATTTCATAATGAGTTCATAATGAGAATGATGCTGGGCCAATATCATCAGCATAAACACGTTTAACACGGTAATTGCCTGCAATAAGCTCTTGACTGCATGATTGTTCTGTGGAGAAATCACTTAATCAGGAGAGAAAGAGGGTGAAAAAGATGACCATTGAATATGTGACTATCTAAAGAATTGGCTGCAATAATGTGTGAGCATGTACTTTTTTATTTTATATGGCATGATTGTTCTGTGGAGAAATCACTTAATCAGGAGAGAAAGAGGGTGAAAAAGATGACCATTGAATATGTGACTATCTAAATAATTGGCTGCAATAATGTGTGAGCATGTACTTTTTTATTTTATATTAAATTATTTTATTGTATTCGTTTATATTGTTGTGTCGTCTTTTATATTGTTAACATTTTATATTGTTAATATTTTGTATTGTTTATATTGGGTTACTAATTGTTTTATATTGTGTTAACTGATGTGTGCAGTATAGATTTGCTCAGTGTACGTTCAGCTGCAGCAAAACACTCCCTATCTGAGTTCTTGTTGCTGTTGTTTATGCACATAATTTGTTATTTATGGTAATGACAACCTCATTCTACATTCAAATTCAGTCTCGAAAAAATCTGGTTTACAGTGACATTTCCATTAAAGTCACGATGTGATGGAAATAGCAACAGATCTTTACTTCCATATGGTGATGTACACAATCGAAAGAGAGGAAAAATATAGGGCATGGACTTTGTTTCAGTCTATCAGTTGTTGATTGGATGGAGGCAGATTTGAATGCGCGCTTGCCTTGCAGTTGATTGTAAAAAAAGGGGCGGTGCTTAAGATGACTAAATATTTGGAGAAATCAAACATACTGTGGAAGAGAGGAGTCTGTTGTTTCACTTCTTGCAAGACTGAGTTGAAACACACACACACACAAAACCATAAAAAAAATTAAGCATATGCATGGATGAATCATTCAAAATAACATTAACAAGATGATGATCATTTCTATTTTTAGAATTTCTTAACGCCAGCTTTAAGTATATATATTGTGTGCAGAACCAAACTGAACAACTACTGTAGTCAAACATGTCAAACAGGCAAAACATTGCTATGTTTTTTTCATCAACGTGATTTCAAGAGTGACTTCTGTATTCAGCACACAAAATGATAAGTTAGTGGATTCGCTCCTATAACTCTGCAATATGTATGCGGCCAGGATTTAGATGTTTCTAACCTCATAAACATCAGTTGATCAGTGGATTTTCTTAGATGCTAAATTCAGTCAACTCATGGCACAGGCCATAGATTAAATGAAAGCTCCTGAGTTTAACTAGGCGAATGCTTGAAGGCTTTATTAAAGCAGGCCCTTTAGTTTCAATAAAGCTGATGAAAATTAAGGTTTATAATTAATGTGCTCTACATCGTGCTCTACATAACAGCATAATAGTGTTTAATAAGGGATAATTCATGGATTGCTCTATAATTTATCACTGTCACACGGCAAATGAATTACCCATGATGCCCAATTGAGGTGTGTGAATGCGTAAGCCATTTTCTTGCGTCTGACTCTCCCTCAGGTTTTAAGTAATGTGGCAGATAAATGACCTAATGCCGTACGCTAAATTGGATAATTACATTATTAGTGTCTTCCTGATGCAAAGAATGGTTATATATCTAAAAGTATGCACAGACAGCATTCTGCAAGCCACACAAGGCAGACTGTGTATGGTATTTTAATTAAATTCCTTATTACCTTCACCTGTAATTTTATGAGTCTGCTCTTTTTAGCCTGGTTCTTTTCTTAGCAGTATATCTGCATATCACTAAGAAAAAAAATCACTTTCATTCTGATACATTTCTGTAAGATTGTGTTTATTCTTTATTAAAATTGGTCAAGCCCAGAAAATTGGTGATGCCCTGGTTTGTATGCTGTGCATTTCTCTCAGGACTGACCCCCATCAAATCCAACCTTAGGTTACAGATTGAAGGGAATGTGACCTTATTAAAATTCCGTCTCACTGGCAGCCCCTTCTCAGTTAATTACAAGTAGGTGTTTTGTAATTAATCTAGGGAAGATTTGTCATGGTTATTAGTTGTCCGCCCCCTTTCGAATGGACAAATGAGAGTAGCCAAAGGCTTTACAGCAGGAACCTGGATTTGTGCTAATGCAACATCCTACTGAAAGTCCCAATATATGGCATAATTAAACTGCAAATAAAGCAATGCTTGTTTGTTGTTTAGATTTCAAATTCTGATATGCTTCTCTTTGTTTGCCACATTAATGACAGCATTTTGCATCCCTGTAGAATAAAAGAGGATTAAAACGTGTCAAAGAAGAAGTCATGAATTATTCCAGCTACACAGCAGATAATTGTAACACAGAGACTGCTAGAGGGGGATTCAATTTAGACTGCGGGTGTTAAGCTATAACACCCTCAGCAGGTGCATGAAAAACAGGCAGCCGTACGCAACCTTTGCTCTAAAGTTAAACTAAGGATACTCTGGCATATTTTACCCATTGCAATCAGTCATACGTACACCAAGGGCAGTCTACAGTGGCAAAGACAACAATTGACTCTGAACACAGAGGACAGCCTACTCCCAGGTATTCTTCATTCTTTGATAAAACTTGGTCTATAGGATTGCTAGAGTATCATCTGTCTTATTCGCAGAAGTGCCATGCAGGAGTGCCATGAATATTAATAGCAAAATTATTCATAATAGGTCTTATTGTTATTAAATCGTTTTTCCTATTGTAGGGGAAAATAAGTATTGTTCTGTGGTTGCAGAAATCACCCATACACCCACATCCAAATATTTTTTTAGTTAAATCGAGTCACGTCTCCCACAAATCATTTGCCTTAATTTGCTACATATGACTGTAAAATCGTATTTCTAGAAATGTAAACGCTTTCTCAAAATGCCCAATTTTTGCTTTGGTTTATTTGTATGTAGGTAAGGTCAGGCATTTTAACGTTTGTCTCCTCACACTGTGAACAACTATATAAATATTTTACTCTTCTTTAACTTCAGGTTTATATCTGTTTGTCACACCACTTGTCTGTGGTTGTGTCTTTGCAGACTAGAGTATGTGAGTGGTGCGGAGTTAAGTTCTCATAAGTTAGAGCATTTTTCCAGAGTGTTTTTCCCCCTCGCTCCATGATCGTTTGAAGCCTCAAAATGGAAAACCAGTGGAGTGGAGTGACTACAAAGTCTCAGGTGCTCCGTTTCACTCACACACACTATTCCAGTCCAGCTTTCAATCTGTGATTTGCTTAGTGATAGAAGCTTGACTTCTTATGGTCTTTTGGTCTGAAACTCATGTTTCATGATTTGAATTACTTGTATTAAAACTGTTGTATAAAAGCAACATCACACTCACAGCTGTGCTGTAGAAATGATTATCAGCACTCTTGCTCATGTTACTGTTAAAATATTTTCTACAACAAGTTTTAACATTGTTACCCCCCCCCCCCCCCCCCCCCCCCCCCCCCCCCCCCCCCCCACCCCCCCCCCCCCCACCCCCCCCTGTCACTGGTGCCCCCTCGAAAAATTAGGATCGTGACTCCTCTGATTTTTCTCACTGGATCTCTCCTTTTCCCCTCTCTTTCCTCCACACACACACACACAAAATAGGCATGGGACTCCCTGGCTGCGCGCGAAACGAAACGTGGCGTTCAAGAAACAGTCAATAAGCGCTCGAGCGCGCGGGTCCATCCAGAGCTCGCGCCCTAAACTCCCGCCCTCAAGTGTGAAGCGCGAGCGCACGGCGGGAAGACGTTAACGGTCACCCCTTGACGCGCAAGTGACGGCCACTTGAAGCGCACCACTTGACAGACCGTTGACAGAGACCCCGTTCGGTTCAGTAAACGCAATACTAAAACTTAATATCACCCCTTAGACCTCAAATCACCCCCCAGCCACTCACCAAGCACGCTGTCCCGTTGAGGAGCAGCAGGATGAAGCCGTGGTCGGAGCGCATCTCGTCGGTGTCCTGACTGTCGACAGCTCTCCGTTCAAGAAGACGCGGTTCCTCCGGTACCGTATCCAAAACAGTCGAGACCCGGTTCCATGTCCAACATAAAGTCAAGCGCGAGCTCTCCTCTTAGTGGAATCCCACCTGCTGTTTGTCACGGTACACTCCGCTACTTGGAGCGCGTCACATCCAAAGGTGTCTGGAAACTGACAGGACACTTCTTCGCTGCCATCTGTGTACACTTTGCTCCGTTTTGTGTTGCTGTGTGAGGGGAATCATCTCCGTTATCCGCGCTTTTATGTGCTGGTGACGGCTAGGATCCCAGTGCGCGAGCCTGACCGGAGCGCAAACTCCTCGAGCGTCGCACATGTCAGTACATGCAGACTGGCAGCAGGTCTCCTTCCTACACGCGCTGACGTTTTAAACCCCCCTCTCTCTTTCTCTCTGCCTCGTCAGAGCCCCCAATCTTTCTTTTTGCATTTTCCCCCTATAATCTCTCTCTCTCTCTCTCTCTCTCTCTTTCTTCAGAGCATCCCCCTATCTCTCGTTTTCCTTCCTTCCTTCACCCTGTCAACCCCTTCTTTCTTTCTTGTTCCTAAACCATAAGCTACTAGGCCACCAAACCAACTATGGTTATGTCAAAATAATCAACTTGAGTCTTTTATATGTCAAAAAAATCCACAATGATGCATTGCTTGGTAAATACATCGGTATTTTTGTAACAACATTCCTGTTGACCAATCAGTAGCCATTAATTTTAAGGTTATGGTTAAAAGGATGGTTCACCCAAAAACTAAAATTCAGTATTTTGTTGTCCTCGTATCATTTCAAACCTGCTTTCTTTCACCGTCAGTCACCGTTTGCGTTCATTGCCTCTTTTTCCCAGTCAACTGAGTAAATTGTGAGTAAATTGTTATTTTGAATGTTTTTGAATAACCTATATCTGTAAATTTATGATTGGTTTATAAAGTGACTGATATGCACGTTGTTCTAGGAACATGTCCTTCTCACACTGTGCTGACAGCAGGAACGTCACAGGTTATTAAACCTGATGCCAGCGGCACCTTGCCACAAGGTAAAGGTACAGGCTATTCTTATTGGTTTGTCTGCATCGATGCACCTCTGTTATCTGTTTTGGGTTATTTGTCTCTCTTTTTTGTCACCAAAGATACTCTCCCCTCCACCTAACTGGTAATTGGCCCTAGGAGAGACCTACTGCGCGTATTGCGATGTGATTTGTTTAGCTTTATTGAATTGAAGCAGCCTGGTATCCTCTGCCTTACTCTGTGAGTCTAATATAAAATCAGATCACTTGCACTAGAGCCAACTGAGAGCACTTGCTCGATTGTTACATGTTTGTTAGGAGCCATAATTTATTGTCTTGGCTTGTTTTTTTTTTGTTTGTTTTTTTGGGTGGTGGACTCAGGGGTGGTAATTTCCCTTTTATTAAACATCATTAAGTCTCCCTCTCTTTCGTCTTTTTTCCCTCTTTCTATAAATGTGCTTTCTTGCTTTTCAATTCTCACATTTTGTGACGCAATCTCCAGGGTTTCAGTCAGAGAATTTGACCCTTTGCCCACTCGCCGCTCCATCACCAAGAAAACACACTTCCACTTAATCATTCACGCACACACTGCTTTAATGCCCAATATCAATATCATGAATATGAAACATCAATATCAATGTCATGAAACCTGTCAAAACTTCAAATCAAAGAACTAAATAATATTTGTCTTTAATATATGCTGATTTAAATAAAAACACCTTCACATTCAGGCTATTGAAAATAATGGCAATTACCAATAAATAAGTAAATATATTTACGTCAAACATAAATGCATTACTGTAATGAGAATTTTAAGGGGGGAATATGTCACATTAATGTCACATTTTCTATAAATGTATTGGTCATAAAATAGGTTTAAGTTTGTTATGTAATATATTTACATATATTTGTATATTAATAGATTGTTTTTGGTTGGGGGGGGGGGGGGGAGAAATTTTTTTTTAATGTGTCTCATTCTTCTGTGTTACCAAATAAACCTCCTCTGCAGTATTCAGAAGTAATTATGCATAAGGATGATGTTACAAGCCGTGCAGAGCTTGTGTGTATGTGTATCAGTGATTGAAAGAGATAGTGTCTCTGTTTGTGTATGTCTGTGAGCCTGCATTAGTGTAGGGACCAGGACTGAGGGCGTTAGTGGCTTTATCTTGTTTCACATTGCTAATGTCATTTGAGTGAGCTGTGTAGGAGACAACGGATAATTCAATGAGGAGACACTGTGCATGTCAGTAATGAACATGTTAGAAAGGTCATTAGCTCTATCTTGTGTTGAGTTTTGTTACTACAGCCATTCTGGAGAAAATTGTCCAATTGATTTTCAATGGATGTGTTTGAAATTACTAACAGCCGTCTTACTGCTTCATGGCTCAGCACCCTTTAAGGTTTGAGACTGCCTTCTAAAGAGCCAGTGAGCTTTAGAGATGACACTAGTAAATGTTTTATGAATACTATGCTTAAATCTCTATAGAAATTAAAATATAATTTGAAAAAGTAGTGATAAATTAATTTACCACTTTCAACCATTTTATCGGATGCCATTTTTATAGTTTCATCCAAAAGTTCACTCAGAATTGTGAAATATAAGGCAGTGTATGTCTGTGCTGCCTTATAATATGACAAAACAAATTGAATTTGTATTGTGTAAATTTGAATTATTGACAAGTGTCATTTAACAAAACTGAATATTATGTAGCATTTAACATAGTTCTGAATTTATTTATTTTTTTACTTGAATATTAAACATTTGAAATGTAACACAACTGAATGTTTTGAGGTTTATAGACATGTATTTTCAAACAGCGAATTTTTGTTCTGAAATCTTAGACTGCAAATATCCTGTTTTTAAAAATACAGCTTCAAGTTTTCAAGATGAAGAGGAAATTCAGTCAATCAAATTCAATATTCTAAAATTTAATATGCAGTAAGTAGGTCAGAGGTAATCCACAGGGAAGAGTAGAATATCTCCGAAAAGTCAAACAAAGCATTTTGGCCAATTAGTAGTTTTCTGGCGTGAGTGTGCGGTTCAAGATCTACCTGATCATAAATCGCCCAGAGGTAGCCTAAGTGATTCTTAAACATTTATGGTTTATATACTTATATGTTAGGTTAGCATTCTCAGCATGTGAAACATTTGTCTAAGCCAGTGGTTCTCAACCTTTTTACTCTAAGGCCTCCCTCCTCTCCAAATCAATACAAACTTTGCAAAAATGTCACTGCAGATATTCTTTACAACTTAAAAGTACGTAAACCTTAATTAACTGTAACTTTAACAAATAAGCACAAGTCAACCTGCCATACCAAACAAGACCACATGGAGACGCCAAAGGACTGCATACACAGATCCATGCAGAATAACTAAACACACTAAAGTACAAATGAAAAATGAAACCATTCTGAATGTGTGGAGACTTGGCGATCATAAGGCGGGTTGATGTCATCAGTGAATAGTTCCTCTGTCAGAATAAGCTAATTTGAAGCTTTTTATTATGTACATAAAACAGGCCACAATCAACAACCTGATCAACTCTATGCGAAGGAGATGTGTGAACCCTTAAGAATTGTCTATATTTCTGCATAATTATAACCCAAAAATCATCAGATTTTCATGCAAGTCCTGAAAGTTGACAAAGAGAACCCAATCAATACAATATACAGTATACAATACCGTATACAATATATATATATATATATATATATATGTAGTGCTGCTTGAAAGTTTGTGAACCCTTAAGAATTGTCTATATTTCTGCATAATTATAACCCAAAAATCATCAGATTTTCATGCAAGTCCTGAAAGTTGACAAAGAGAACCCAATCAAACAAATTAGATGAAAATATATACTTTGTCATTTATTTATTCAGGAAAATTATCCAATATTACATATCTGTGAGTGGCAAAAGTATGTGAATCTCTAGGATTATCTCTTAATTTGAAGATGAAATTGGCGTCCATCTGTTCAGAGGTGTTTTTAATCAGTGAGATGACTATCAGATGTCAGTGTGTGCCCTGTTTTATTTAAATAACAGGGATCTATCAAAGTCTGATCATGTTTGTGGAAGTGTTTCATGGCACAAACAAATGAGATCTCTGAGGACCTCAGAAAAAGATTTGGTGTTGCTCATCAGGCTAGAAAAGTTTTCAAAACCATCTCTAAAGAGTTTGGACTCCACCAATCCACAGTCAGACAGATTGTGCACAAATGGAGGAAATTCAAGACCACTGTTACCCTCCCCAGGAGTGGTCCACCTATAAAGAACACTCTAAAAGCAAGACGTGTAAAAGTCCACTAGGTTTCAAAGGACTGCAGGCTAACTTCTAAGCAACTAAAGGCCTTTCTCACATTGGCTAATGTTAATGTTTATGAGTCCATCATCAGGAGAGCACTGAACAACCATGGTGTCCATGGCAGAGTCGCAAGGAGAAAGCCACTGCTTTCCAAAAAGAACATTGCTGCCCATCTGCAGTTTGCTAAAGATCATGTGGACAAGCCAGAGGAATACTCAAGAAATATTTTGTGAATGGATGAGACCAAAATAGAACATTTTGGTTTAAATGAGCAGCATTATGTTTGGAGAAAGAAAACACTGCATTCCAGCATAAGAACCTTATCCCGTCTGTGAAACATGGTGGTGGTAATATCATGGTTTTGCTGCATCTGGTCCAGGATGGCTGGCCATCATTGATGGAACAATGAATTCTGAATTATACCAGCAAATTCTGAAGGAAAATGTCAGGACATCTGTCCGAGAACTGAAACTTGAGAGAAAGGGGGTCATGCAGCAAGACAACGACCCCAAGCACACAAGTCGTTCTACCAAACAATGGTTAAAGAAAAACAAAGTTAATGTTTTGGAATGACCAAGTCAAATTCCGGACCTTAATCCAATAGAAATTTTGTGGAAGGACCTGAAGCAAGCAGTTCATAGGAGGAAACCCACCAACATCACAGAGCTGAAGTGATATTCATGATATATATTCACTCTAAAAAATGCTGGGTTGTTTCAACCCAATGTTGGGTGAAATATGGACTTGAAGCTACAAAGTGCCCGTTGCAAAGAGCTTGGACTACGTCAGGAATAATGGGGAATCTGTTAATATATATCATGAATCGCCGATACACTCTAAAAAATGCTGGGTTGTTTCAACCCAATGTTGGGTCAAATATGGACTAACCCAACTGTTGGGTTAAATTTTGGTTACATTTTTGAATTAGCTTTTTAACCCAACAGTTGGGTTAGTCCATATTTGACCCAACATTGGGTTGAAACAACCCAGCATTTTTTAGAGTGTATCGGCGATTCATGA